AGCACAGGTTAAGCATGAGCAAGAACCTAAGTTTGGTCACACTCACAAGAACGTATGTGGAAAAATAGAAGGAGGACCCTGTGGTCATTCCCTTCCAATACTGTATGCGCAACAATCCTGTTTGCCACACAGTTTAATTATGCAAACAGCATTACAAGAGTAGGAAATAGTTAAGAGAATAACTATAATTCAGTAACTTGAAAGCAGCCATTTACATACAAATAGTAGGAGCCAACAATTTAGTAATGAACTCTTAAAGTCCAATTTTTAGTAACTGTATGTGTTTTAACTATAAACTACGCTGTTGTAAGAAGATGCAATTTTAAACAATTTAAACAATTTTAAAGTAATAGATTTTTACCAATATTTGTCTTGATCATCAAAACTGTAGCTTTTTCCTTGATATTATTTTGGAAAGGTGGTTAATGTATTGCTTAATTTCATTCTGGGCTAAAAATCCTTTCCCAGAGAAAGCAAATCCCAGAGTTATTTTTAAATAAAGAGAATTACGTGTTTGCAACTGTGTCACGTAGTCTTAAAAACAGGCACCATTCCATGTGTCACCATTCCATGGGTTGTCCACAGTACCAGGGTGCAGGTGTAGACACCCCAACCTGAAAGGGCTCCTCCAAATCCCAGCAGTTGGGATCATCACCCTGTGCAACTGGGGTAACTGATCAGAAGTGACGGAATGGAGCTTTAGTAGAGCCCCCAGGGTCCACGGAGAAGCTTCCCATAGAGTAAAATGTTGCGTGAGTTTTTTGAAGGGATGCTATTCATTTGTTTCTGGTCTGAAAGATGCAGTTCTGTGGGATTGTAGTGAAGCTGCCTACGGCTAAAATCATCTGGGTACAAGTCCTGTTCAGGGCATTCCGGTCATCCCTGCACTCTGGGAGGCTGAGGCAGAAGGATGCAAGTTCAAGCCCAGCCTGGGCAACTTAAGGAGCCCAAGTCCCTACCTCCTAACTGCGGTGACACAATGTGTGTTCACTACTAATGGCGGCTCAGGGTGGCTGGAGGAGATGGCCATGTCACTGTCGCCTGCATGTTGGCACCGTTGTGCTCACGCTGGGCTCTGACTGTGATCCATCTTACCCAGGCAAGTTCTGGCTCCCTGGGGCTTGAGGTTTGGATTCTTTCAAGTGAGTCGTTTTGTTTTATGGCTCAAGTCAATGCTCCTAGCTCAAGAGAACCATGAGCATTTCTCTCTTCTTCTAAAGGGAACTGAACAGCATGGGGATCTGGTACCGAATGGGCAGAGTACCAAGAAATCACGACTCGTCTCAGCCCACAACCCCGTCGCAGTCATCAGCTGCTTCCACCCCGGCCCCTAACCTTCCCAGGTGAGGCTCCGTGGTGATGTCTCATGGTCTTGGGGCTTTGGGTGTGCAGTGCACGTTCCAGAACACAGCACCTCGGATCTGCTGAAATGGTGCGGCATATGGGTGACACTTGGAGAAGTTTGTCTAAACATAGGCCTTAGAGGGGCTCTTTAAAGCCCAGGTAGAAATCTGTGCACTGTGTGAGTGTACAGGTCATTCTATGTTCTATTCTGTGCATATGCTGCAGGCTCCTGAGATAGCAGAATATGCAACCTAAAAGGGGCTTTTGTTATTTATTTGTGTGTGTGTGTGTGTGTGTGTGTGTGTGTGGCCAGCTCAGCCCACCAGGGGGCGGGGCTGGCTGGCATGTGGTGCTGGGGGATTGAACCGCGGTCCCTGTGCTTTGCTTTGCTAAGCTTGTTCTAAGTAGGTGCTTTAGACCACTGAGCCATCTCACCAGCCCCTAAAAGGGGCTTTTGGTTGAAAGAGCTCGTGGATATGCGTAGACTCCTGTGGTAGCCGCGTGGCTGGGATTTCTGGCCTCTGGTAGGCAGCATCTCCTCTCTGCCTCAGCCAGCATCGTGTTTGGGACTCAAGAGTGGCGTCAGTAATTATATTCATTGTTACATGGTTTCTTTCCCAATGAGCTACAAACTAGTGGATCAAACTGCAGGCCCCTCTTTACTAATTTCAGTTGTAATACAGGGAGTAGTAGACTACACTTTTTGCAAAAAGCAGATGGTGAGATGAATCTTGTCATATTAAAAACCCATACAGTAGGCATGATGGCGCACTATACTCCCAGCACTGTGGGAGGCTGAGGCAGGAGGACCAGTGTGTGGGCTCAAGGCCAGCCAGGGCTACATAGTGGGTCCAAGGCCAGCCTGAATTATGTGACAAATTCCTGTTTCATAAAATGAAAAACAATAAAAAAAAAAACATGCATCACTAGTACTAAGTTGTTTGGGGGAAGGAGCAAACAGCAATGGTGAACTGAGTTTGAGAAAGGGATTACAAATGTAAACAGCAGAGAAGGCGAGATGGTGTCACTTGCAGATTAATGTCACATAAATGAGAATGCGCCACAAAGCTTCCATGTGGGTGAATAGGGAGGGGCAGGCCTTCCAGGAGTGGGACAGCACAAGCCCGGGGGTGCCCAGCACCCACACAGCATCAGCTCCACTTCGGGCTCATTGCAGAGCCTGGGGAGCCCACGGTTCCACAGTGGTTACTGCTACTCCCAGATGACATCGTAGGACCTGGAAAGGCCCGGAAGTGGGGACCACATGGGCCCGTGTTAAATTCTGTTGCATAAGGATGGAGCTGCGTCTCCCAGGTGAGGCAGGCAGAGTACCCTCCTGGAAGCTGGCCAGCCAGCGGGGAGGAGGAAGATCACTTGTCACTGAGGCCACCAGGCTAAGCACCCCCGCTACAGGGAGCCAGGTGGACTCGGAGGGCATCAGAACAGAGTGTTTATAAGGCTTATATATTTTATAACCTCTGTTGTACAGTTTAGGGTTTACAATGGCTGCAAGGAAATTGGATCAGTTTTGTTTTACTTGCCAAATAAAACAAATGTCAAAATAGTCAATATAAAATGTATTCTAATTTGGCTGAGTTAAGCCAGCCAGAGTGCAGTAGGATCATTGAATGCACATTAATGCTGCCAGGTAAAAACCGCTGTCTGTCCCAAGCTCTCCTCTCCGCTGTACTGTGATTTACAGGTGCTGTGCACTCCCAGGCAAGCTCCTCATTCACCATGGGTTTTCGTTTCTGTCCTTTGTGAGGTTTCTCAGGGCTTTTTTCCCCCAGTATTATTTTCCTACCCAATATCTTTAATTAAAAAAAAAAAAATGAGACTCTGATTACTGACCTGAATTTTCAGTGACCGCTTATGAGAGGATGAGTGTGTCACCATGTTCCTGGAGATGTCAGGGTCTGCAAACTTCCCAGAAGAGGCAGCTCAGCCTCCTGTGTCCTGGGGAAAGGTCGAGGCTTTCCACAGGCACAGAAGAGTCTAGGCGCCAGGATTACCTGGCCCCAGCGCCCTCCTGGGCCCCGGCAAGGGTTTGTGAGACAGGTGCTGCAGCCGCTCCAGATGACCCGTGAATCCCTGAGTGCCACAGGATCGCTTCAATATGAGAGCAACATGGGCTTCTAGGAAATTGGTAGAATGTAGAAAATAATAGGAAAGTAAATTCCGTTTCCAAGGGCAAATGCTCGTAAGCTTTTGTTGTATTTTCCTTCGAGTCTTTTTCCTGTGTGCTTTTTACAGGCGATACCACTGCAAGTTTGTGATCCGCGCGGTTTTCTCTTGGCACATTGAACCGCAGGCGTTAGAAACAGGTCTTTGGGGTTGCTCTTTGTGTGGACGGGGAGCAAGCCGCAGAAGCCGAGGCCGCGCAGAGTGGTGATGCGGCGCCCTCTACTGCCTGGCCAGGGGGTGGCGGGCAGGCGAGTGGGGCAGGGTACACCAGCCTTCTCCCTGCCTGACCTGCGCTGACAGGAGGAAGGAAGAGGTCGGAGCTCCCGAGGCGGAGGGACTGCCTTGCTGAGCCTGGGCATTCCTCCCAGAAACTAGAAGGTGCCTCCATTTTTTTGTCATCACTTTTAGAGTGTTGTCATCTCAACATGATTTCAGACAAAAGGGCCTTTTGGTGGACTTCGTGTCCTAGCGGGGACGCCTCCCCTTTCCAGAGGCAGGGACTGCCCCTGGGCACAAGAGCGTCCTGCCTGTGGTTGTCTCATTATTGCACAAGATGCTCAGGGTGAAACCGGATCCAGTCGCTGGGGAGACAGGTCCTCCTTGGCCCGGTCCAGTGAGCTGGACACCACATGGCGCAGTTTGTGTCAAAGGCAGCATGAAGTGCCCAGCAGAGCCGTCCTTCCCTGTGCATTGAGTCTTCAGCTTGTACCAGACGCTCACACTCTTGGCAGGTGGCAGGGGAAGAAGGGCAGGCGCATTCCCTGAGGTGTGCAGCCCCACCTTCCCATCCTCTGCGAATCCCTCATGCACACTGCCCAGTGGGGATGGAGGAGTACGGCTGGCCGACGGCCCTGCGTGTGCACCCCCTCACTGCTCTCCTGGGCCAATCTGCCTGTGAGTCAGCCGATAGGGTTTTCTGACTGCTCAGCAGCGCTGGTGCCTTACATAGGGTTATGGAGAGAGGAGGCGCCTGCCACACAAACACATACACGGGGTCTCACCTGCACTCTCCCAGGAAGGAAGGTTCTTCACTGCCAGAACAAAGGTCTGGAAAATCTCTGGTAGGCAGAGGGATCCAGTAGACTGAGCACCAGGAGCCCCCGGCGTGGACAAGCAAGTGGTTCTCTGTCGATAGGGAGCTGGCCCTGGAGGGCTTCTACCCCTGGCTCGCTGAGCAGTGGAGTCAGCACTTGATAAAGACGTCAGAGGTGCACTTATCAAACTTGCAGATGACATGGAGTCATTAGGGAACGCTGATGTGCCAAGTGACAGAATCAATACTGTGCATCTCCTCACAGCCCCCGCACCTGCAGGATCCAATAGATGAGAGGTGACGAGTGCACTTTAAGGCCACTGAGGTTCACACAGTCCACAGCACAGGCGCTGATCCAGGGAGGCTCAGGCTGTGCACAGCAGGGGGGAGGGCTGCTGGTCACCAGGCTGGGGAGTGAGGATGCAGCCTGCTGTGTGTAGCCAGCGACCTGTCCCATGTCCCTGCCCCTGGCACCCTGCCAGGTGGCATTACTCCTACGTGGTCCATGGGACAGCTGCCTGAGTACAGGGCTGCCTGACAGGTGCCAGCTTGGGTGCCTGGTGGTCAGTATGTCAAGGGGAATGCAAGTGTTTTGGGGTGGGATGGGAAGAAGAAGAAGGCTTCCGGGAGCCCCCAGAGCCCAATGCTGGATATTTGGGCTCAAACTGCCCAAAATGGAAATTTTGTAGTGTTGAAGAAGCTGCCTTGGAGCCAGGGGGATGGTGTCATGAGTGCCCAACTGCCTGGGTAGTCAGATGGCATTAGAATTTTCAAGGCCTTTGATGACGTTAGAGTAATCGTACTACTTAAGCTTTAAGAAACATACCACCTTGCTGAACGTGCGGTGCACCCCTGTGATCCCAGCACCCTGGGAAGCTGAGGCCGGAGGATAAAAAGCTCAAGCTCAGTAGCTTAGCAACAGCAAGAACCTGTCTCAAAACTTAAGAAAAAAAAAAAAAGGAGAGTAGATATAGTGGCGCACGCCTATAATCCCAGCACTTGGGAGACTAAAAACAGGAGGATCATTACGAGTCCAATCTGTGTAGTGAGATCCTATAGACCCTGTAGACAATACATTTAAAAAAAATAAAAAATAAAAAAGGGCTGAGAGTGTAGCTCAGTGCAGAAGCCCTGGCTTTAATCTCCTTTACCACCACACACACACAAAAAAGCACCATCTCTCCTGAGAACATCAGGTTCAGCAGAGTCCTTGGTAGGGTGCCCGGGGGACCTGCAGTGGGCAGGGCAGGCATAGAGCAAGGGCACTGCCCTCCAAGGCCTGCTCTGGGGGCTGCAGTAACTGACTTGCACTCTCAGTGCTGATGGTGCCAAAGGAGGCCTGGCCGATGCCGAGAGGGTGCTGGGGTACCAGCCTGGGATGGAGACGCACTGAGCCTTGTGGATCCGTGCCGAGTCTCAGCCTGGAGTTGGCATGCAGGAGCTGATGGGTGCCCTCTTGTCCCCATCAGTGTCCATCTGGAATGAGTACGTGGGCCCCACCCAGCCTGCTGGGAGCTGCAGGATGTTTCATGTAGGCTGAGCCTTCAGCCGGGGCTATCCTAGAAAACCTAGCACGTTGATTCCAGGAGCTGTGCCCCCTTCCCATCTACCTGCCTGGGGTGCCCAGCTGTGTGCACCACGGCCCTTAAGGATAAGCCACTGCCCACAGCCCCTGGGCCATGGCCACATCCTGTGACCCTTTCTCTGACCTTGTCCTTCCCCAGGAGAGAAAGGGCTCCTTTCCCCCAGGCAGGAAGCACACGGCTCATTTTCCAGCTACTT